GGCGGGCGGGCGGCCTGTCGGTCTGTCCTCCTTCCCTTCCCTTCCCTCCCTCCCTCCCTCCGTCCCGGCCGGCCTGGGCGCCCGCGGGGGCCGGCCCTTCTCCCTTTCCAGAGGATACTTGTTGCACGGTTCTCTGCGTGGTGGTGTCCGGGGACTGCGACTCCTTGAGCAGCTGCAGGATCTGCTGGAGCCCCTGCTCGTCGGGCTTCCACTCGTACTCCATCTTGGCGCCCGCGCGCTGCAGAAAAGACAACAGGCGGCGGCCGCCGTTCGGAGCAGCGGAGGCGGAGGAGGCGGAGAGGGAGGCGGCCACCCGAGACTAGGCCCTGAGCTGGGCGAGCAGCGCGGCGGGGCCCAGGGCGGTCCGGCCCACCGCTCGCTCTCTACTCGCACGCAGGCCAACGCCGAGCTCCCCGCAGCACCGGCTGGGTCGAACCGCTCGCTCTCTGTTCCGGCCGCCGCGGGTGCGGGCGCTGCTGGTCGTGCTTCCGCCGCCGCCCGCCGCCTACCGTGCGCTGCGCGGAGCCCGACTGAGTCACGGAGGAGACTTTGCAATCTGGCTCCGAGAGCCCCGCCGGCCGCCCGGAGTCCCCCTGGGTCCTAGAGCCTTCTCGCCCGCGAGGGTTTGCCTTCTCCCTTCAGCTTCATCCGCAGGCAGCCGAGCGAAGAAGCGATCGGCCGCCTGCGGACGCGGAGGGAAGCGCGAACGGGCCGCAGGCTCCGAAACTACGCCTTCCGGAATAATCATCATCATTCACGGAAGGCTAGAAGGCCATCTAGACGAACGCCCGTTGCCGGCCTGAAGGGACTGATTTGACGCCTCAAGCTCTCTGTAGGCCAGATTCTTTCCTCCCCCCCCCACTTCCTCCCCGGGTAACTACGCTGACCGGGGATGATGGGAGCTGTAGTCCCTTCTATCTGCAGGACTCCGGGTTGGCGAAGGCTACGTTCAAAGATACTTAGGTTGAAAACGGAGCGGGGAAAAAATAGGGGGTATACTGTGTGGAATCAAAGCAAGTAACGAGGCTATCTTGGGAGGAAAGCGATGACAAACCTTGAGGGTATCTTAAAAAGCAGAGACATCACCTTGCCAACAAAAGTCCAAATAGTCAAAGCTATGGTTTTTCCTGTAGTGATGTATGGAAGTGAGAGCTGGACCATAAAGAAAGCAGACCGCCGAAGAATTGATGCCTTTGAATTGTGGTGCTGGAGGAGGCTCTTGAGAGTCCCCTGGACTGCAAGGAGAACAAACCTATCAATTCTAAAGGAAATCAACCCTGAGTGCTCACTGGAAGGGCAGATCCTGAAGCTGAGGCTCCAATACTTTGGCCATCTCATGAGAAGAGAAGACTTCCTGGAAAAGACCCTTATGTTAGGAAAGTGTGAGGGCAAGAGGAGAAGGGGACAACCGAGGACGAGATGGTTGGACAGTGTCATTGAAGCTACCAACATGAATTTGACCAAACTCTGGGAGGCAGTGGAAGACAGGAGGGCCTGGCGTGCTCTGGTCCATGGGGTCACAAAGAGTTGGACACAACCTAACGACTAAACAACAAAACAATGGAAATAAAAGGAGACCATATTGCTTGCCAAGTACATCCAAAAACAATTTTGCCATGATATCCTCCAAAGCAACTTGGACTTTATCTCTTAGTACATGGGAATTATTCAGAAATGTAATAGCAACACAGTGTTGCTTCTGAAGGCAAACTGAAGCACACTCAAATTCAGGAATCTAATAGAATTGCAAATTGATGCCATTCATCTGATCTGGGATACAACTCAGAGAAATTTTAATGAGCCCCTCAAACTTCTTAGAAGTCTAGCCTTTATTCCTTAGATATCATTTCAGCGCATCAGAAAACCAATTGTGTTAAAGCAGCACATTCTTTTCCCAAAAGCGGTACCAATGAACAACAACAAAAATAAAGTGGAAAAGCCAGAAATAGAACTAAACAGGTGGATGCTTCAGAACACTCCAGTTAGCAGAAGGAAGGATTTTAGGGTGGGAACACTGTAGGAAAATCATTAGCTTTAATATATTGTGAGTGGAGGCAAGGAAGTGAGCCGTCCTCACAGAAACCAAAGAGAGAAGAAAGTGAAGGATGCGCAGTGGGGGAATTAATCAAATTGGACGATGATGAAAGTATGACCAACAAAGCAATAGAGGTGTTTCTAGCAGAGAGGACTAGAGACTGGGGGGAGGAGTCAGAAGAGTGGAGATGGGATGAGATTATAAAAGAGGAGGGAAAAAGGAGGGAGGAGGATCCGTTGAAGGAGGAGAAGGGCACACAGACGAGAGAGACAGGGGCCGAAAGGGAGAGGATTGCAACATTGGTTAAGAGTTTCCCAAACCTGATGAAGGAAGATGGTTTGCTGCCCTTACCCAAAGGAATAGGAAAGCTTAAGACAGGTGAGCAGCAAAGGGAATGGAGTCCCGGAGTGGGTTTGACTATTCTCCCAACGTTGGACAGCGGGACCCTTGGTGGGGCCAGTCCTTTCCTACCCAGATTGGAGGGTTCGGTCGTGGTCCACCCGTGTTGCAGGACTACCTGCTCGGTGCTAAGTATGCCAGCCAAGAACCAGAACGTAACCACTCACTTTGGGGTGAAGAAACTGTAAAAGTTAAAGATGTAGGACCTGGGACTAAACCCAAGAAATATAACTTGTTAAACAATGAAGAGTTGCCGAACCCGTTTGGTTCAGAGTTGTTTGATGACAAAGTTAATAAAACTAATCCTTTTCTGACCGTTACGTCGACTACGGCTGTCATTCCCGCCGAATCCCTTGGCCCACCCATCCTGGAAAAAGAATCCAATCACATATATACTATGGAAAGTTGGATTTCCATAAGTTTGTCTAACAGATTTAAAAGGTTTCATTAAAAAATTAAAAGCCCCATTGAGTTTAGCAAGAAAAGGCTTTAGTCACTACTACTTTTGTCTCAGTTTTTCGATTTTTAATACTGTCTTCAAGTCTCATGTTTTATATTTTTAATATTTATTATTATATAAAAACCCAAATCCTGTTGCTTTACATAGTAAAGCTTCTCAGTATCAAAACCCACTTCTTTAGATATATGGAACAATTATACTATGCCAGATCGGGTTACACTCCCTCTGAAAACTGAGGTCTGCACCTTGGGTGTGCTGTTGGATTATTCAGCCCTGAGCCTGGATTTCTGGATTTGCTCACGTTTTGGCAGTGGCTATGAGTGCATTTACACAGTTAAAGGTGGCACACTTTTTGTGCCTGTTGTTCGAGAGGTCTAATTAAGCTACAGTGACGCATCTCATGGTTACTTCCCATTTGGATTACTGCAGTGTGCTCTACGTGGGATTGCCCTTGAAGAATGTTTGGAAACTTCAGCAGTTTGAGGACGCATAGAACTCCCCTATTACAACCGCTTCACTAGTCGCTTGTTTCTGGTGCAAGTCAAAGTTCTGGTTGTAACCTATAAAAGCTCTGAGTTCAGGCTGTCTGAAGGATTGTATCACCCCTTTTATTTTGTTTTGTTTTAATTTATTTCTTTGCCTCGTCAAGTTTTAATGTCTTCTGGCAATGCGCTTCTCTCAGTCCCACCACCCTCGGAGGCCCATTTGATGAGAGAGGGCCTTTACTATGGTTGCTCAAAGGCTGTGGAATGCACTTCTTTGAGAAGATAGGTTGGCCCCTCCCTCTTGTCCTTCCATTGTCTGGCAAAAACCATCCTTTTCAGGCAGGCTTTTAAGTGACTAGTGGGATTTAAGGAATGACTTGTCCTCAGTAGCCCTGCTCTTTTGCAAACCCAAGACTGTAGTTCTTTTAGGGAGTCAGTCCATCTCTTATTTGGTCTTCCTCTTTTCCTGCCACCCTCAGCATTTCCCAGCATTATGGGTTTTTTTTTCAGTGAATATTGAGTTCCCACAATCTCACCAATGTATAACAGCCTCTGTTTCATCATTTTTGCCTTCAAATAAAGTTCAGGCTTGATCTACAACCCACTTGTTTGTCTTTCTGGCTGTCCAGGGTATCTGCAAAGTTCTCCTCTATGCCTAATGTCCTTCCAAGTCACAGTCCTCGTCTGATTTCTTCACTGCACTCTCTATTTGGATTTGATTATTGTGCCAAGGTATACAAAACCTTTAACGATTTCGATTTCTTCATTATTAACATTAAAGTTAGGAATGGGACATCTACAGGGCTTGAAAAATCCACTCGTCCACTTGTTTGTGATGAGTGAAAAAAACACTGCTTGACTGGGCCACAGCTCCCTCCCTCTCTCCCTCCTTGCCTCCTTACCCTCAGTCCGTTTCTATTTCGCTGATCCTGCAGTCCTCCGCTCCCCGTACCATTGCAAAAGGAAAAACAGCCCTCTTCTCCTGAGAAGAGAGTTCAAGCAGCACATAGCTCTGCAGGAGAATGTAGAATAGTCCTATGCTGGAGAATCCGGAGATTCCCTGCTCTAAATTTCAACCAAACAACCTGGCTCCTTAAGAGGTCCGGCACTTTTGCTTTCAGTTTTATTTTTGCTGGAGACCTTCAAAAGAAAGGCATTCAAAATACAAGCTTCATGACCCCACAGGCATGCAGGTAATAAAGCAACCCAAGTCTGAGGGTATATTTATTTTGGGTTTGTACGCATTGTTATGTAGAAAGTACCTAATTTAAATTGAAATGTAAGTTTAAACATAAATTGCAAGGCTATTGTGAAGGAGGAGTAGATGATGAGAGTGCACCGTCTGCTCAGCTAAAGGAATCTATAACGAGGTTCAAAGGAGGGAATAGGAGAAGTGATGAAGAAAGGGATTGAGGAAAAAGGAAGGAAGACAGAGGTTTGTTTGGTAGAGGAAGGAGAGATAAATTAAGGTGAGGACCTGGTATCGCCCATATGGGAGGAGAATAAAAGGGAGGAGGAGGACATGAGAGTTTTCAGAGTACCAAGACAGATCATGAGAGATGTAGGTGAAAGGGAATTCAAGAGAGTGTGCGATCTCCTACAAGACTTTCCTTACTTTAAAGTAGGAGGACTGTTGCCAGATCCGACGCTAAAGAAAGAAGGAGTGACCGTGACTGAGACTACAGAATGGACAGTAGTGGTATTCCCGAGGGGCCAAGGTCACTCGAGGAAGGTGATTCGCCCTGACGCAACATTCAATGAGCTGCCACTTGAGGGAGATTGGGCTCGCTACCCGTGTTGTGACACAATCTGTGTGGTGATAAGTGCCCCCCTGCGGAAACCAATGGACAAGGAGCGCTTTGGTCGGGCTCCTCAGTAAAAAGAGACAGTTCTTTCCTTAATGTGTCACCCGATTCTTATGGACACCTTCCGGAGATAAGCTGTTTTGAACCATTTGAAGTTGTTGATTCACCTGAGACTAAGTTTAATAAATCTGTTAACTTTCAGAATGAATATTGTATTTTCCTGCGCAAAAACAAGAGCCGCCTTCAAACCTTTCAGAACCCAGTCACAGCTATAGTTCGGTCATGCTGATTGGTGAAATTTCTGACTGACTGGTGAGACATTCTAAAATTTTTCAAGTCCTGGACATCTACCAAATTGAAAGATTTTTTTAAAAAAAATTAAGTGTTTTTCATTGTAGTTTTTAAAATTGTTAAGTGTTTAATTGTTTGTAATGTTTTATCTTACAGTGTTTAAACTAATTATGGGTAGTTTTAACTGATTGTGAATTGCCTTAAATACCCTGTGGGAATAAAAATGGCATATGAATAATATAAAATATATTAATCTATATAGTCATCAGTGGGAGGTCATGACCACATGAGCATGCAGGCAATACACAAAGAGAATGTACTATTAACATGGGAATGGAACTGTTGGGGTGTTATCTACTCAAACTTACAGACTTACTGGCTTTATTCTTCAAGCTGGAGGGATGGCAAAATTAAAATGTAACAAATAAACTAAATGGATTTTTGAGATTTTAATCAACTATATTTTTTATCCCAGCTCATATTACCAAATCAAGATTTATGTAATAAACTAATTCAGCCTATTTCCCCATCTACCTAAGAAGTATTGATAATGGAGCATTTTAAAGCTACAAATAAGACCAAATCCATCATTACCCTTTTTAT